GTTCTGTGACTGCAATATTGAAAATAGCAATGCATCCTTTTGACTTCTATCGTTATAAAAAAAAAGCAAAATAAAAATTCTTTTAGAAAACATCAAGTTGATAATGTCGAGTCACATAAGAGAGCATACATTTTAAGAAGATGCTTTGAAATATAGTGAAAACTAGGAGTTGAATTCAGAGGTGTATTCATGATAAGAGTAATTATATGTATGTCTATAGAGCAATATTCAAAGACGAACTTGTATGAATTAGTTAACTTATGAGAAATACAGCATCAATATGTCTAGTAGTTGTTATACAATCTGACAGGAGAAATATTAAAATTTTAAGATCAGTAATATATGTTAATATGTGAACTACAGAACTCGAACGATACGATCCGTATGCGATCGTTTAGGTACTATGTTGATCTGTACAAGACACTATTCAGTAAACTCACGATTAAGGTAAGACTAGATACTATTCGAGATCCTCTCGAATACGAAATGTGATGCAAGGCAAAAATTTCAATTGTCAGAAAAAGACTCATCATGTGGGGGATTCATTGCCAGTCGCTCTTGTACTGAAGATGTTCATGTTTCGCTGGATTCAAAAAAAGTTTTTTTTGTAAAACTTACTACAATGAGAGCTCTATGAATGTCTGATAATATTCTACTTAAGAATATTATCGATTGATCTTTTAATGATCTATATGATTGATTGTCTGTAAGGTGCAATCAACACGTGTTCGAAAGACTTTTTAGTCAAAAATAAATGAACAAGGTTTTTCTTTTCAATGTTTTTTTAAATAATATAATCAGAAAGAGTAGCGATTGATACTAATACAAAATATATCACATGTGTCATATTTTGCAACAGAAGGTACTCGTTGAGATACATTCTGAACACATGATATGAGTTTCTTCTTCGGGAAGTCTCGTAGTTTTTTTTTTCTTTCATAAACTTGAATTCTTATCAATTACTCTTGAAATATAAGACTAAGACCTAACTGCATCAATTTTATTTGATTCTGATTAAATGACTTCGAGATAGTTTAATATCGATGATCAATTGATCTCTCTCAATATATTCTGAATTAAAGATTAAAATATTTATCATACGATACATTTTTATGGGACAGTCTGTGGGATGCTTCATTTTAATGCATTGACCGAATACAATACGAGAATCCAAATTGATTTATGTTAGTGAATAGATCATATTGTATTGTATTTTTTCTGAAATGAATCATTTCGAGAGTAGTAAGACCTCAATTGATCTTTTATATGCATGCATCAATTTTTTTTCTTTTCTTTGCAGTCATAGATATCATCAACGGCGATAACTTATCGTCGATAAGGGTGTGGGTGTGGTTGTGCATATGACACATTGCTTCATCCATACCCACACCCACACCCACACCCACACTTTCTATCATCTTACAGAAAAATTGTCTCGTGTTCATGGCAATCTATGTTTTATTCATTTCAGCATAAAACCCAATGGAACTTCTTTCTTAGAACACTGGTGCTCCAATAGTTATCATTAATCGAAGGATTAAACGAAAACGCAACGAGTGTCTTATTGCTAGTCGTTGTCTAATTTTACCCGATCTGAACCACCTGAAATCATATCAAAATGAATTTCGTTGCATATGTATGTTTGTTTTTGGCTTCTTTGTGATAATGCGTCGACAATTCGTCCTGTAAATATCCTACTGTTTCTAGACGCAGTTCTTCTTAATAGAATGCATATTTGAATAGAATGAAAAAAAGCGAAAAAGAAGGAGAGCACACAGAAACGAAAGAAAAAACATTGCCATGCAGCACAAGTAAGAATCGAGTCATTTGAAAAAGAACAAGCAGACAGTGTACAACTCAACAAATATAAATAAGCAACAAACATAATGCAACTATTTGACTGTGGTGAGTTAATTATTACGAAGATTCGAAAGGGAAAGTAACTGTTTTGAATGCTATATACTTAGTGTCGAGACACTGCGGATATTACTAATAACTAATACAGATATGACATTGATAATCATGGTCGACTTTACATAAGCTGACCGATACGGCAATGTACCTGGAGTAATCCAAAACTAGTCTCGTCAAGGTCTTATTTTCTTATAGTAAGCAAAAAAAATTTCCCTTTTTATGAATAGATAGAGCGTCTTTCATTCTATCTTTCTATTCTATTTGATCGATCGTCACTCAGTACTAGAATAAAAAACCTTGGTGAAAACTGTTTTTTGTTGGAAGCTGGCTGGTGGCATTATTTCCTCTACTGAAAGGAAGATAATGCGCTGAGCAGCTCCCACAACTAAATGTTCGTTCGTTAGTTGGCATTGCAGAACGCAAGAAAAAAAGTATACAGAACGAAAGAGGTGTATACATCGATTTGATTGGCTGCAGAACAAAAGAAAAAGAAAATATTGATATAAACACATTGTCAGCCGACAGAGCGAAAAAAGCATAGCGTTTTAAGTAAATCAATATCAAATGCACTACGTGGGTGAGGGTGGGTGTAAGTGCAAGTCGAATATGGATGTGAATCCTCTTTGAGTCCACACACATCCCAAATCGAAATATTTTAATCGCTATGCTAGAAAGTAAAATATACGTCTTGACACATTGGCTGAAGATTCATGATCATGAAATTAAAGATAATTTAAAATAAATATAGGTCGATGGAGGCGAAAACTCTGCGACAGATTATTTTAGTAGATTCCTATCATACTATTTTCCTTTCAGTAGAGGGTTTAGTGACGTTTTCGTCTCGTTACTTGTTTTATATCATCATTCCTGACGGTGGGGGTATGGTGGTGGGGGTGGGGGTGGGGTGGGAGCGGGCGTGTGCTTTGCTTTCGTCCACACACACACCCACACCCTTTTCTTCTTTGACTCAATTTCGAGTTTCTATGTTCTTTAGTTTTGTTAATCATGTTTTTACAACATGCTATCTATTAAAAGAAGCACTCCTGAGTGCCTCTGCGGATCTATCGATCGACCGCAGTCTTGCTATTGTCACCCGTAGATACATTCTGAACAGTGTGACGTACCACGGATAATATCAATCATATACTTAATAAATGTAAGTGACGTGCGACTCGCACCCGTTATCTTAATGCAGTAGAAAATCCAAAGCACGAAAACGTCTTCAGTATGAAACAGACCTTCTAGAAGATACACTGGATGACGTAAATCAATTATGAAGTAATTCAAAAATAATGCCTTTTAAACTAATTCAGTTTTCATCACATTTACCAATACTTTTGATAGTATTGACTAAGGCCTACTAGGGTCTGCTGGGATCTTCTTGAGGGTGAGAGTAGAAGTACATACACATGCAGTCTCTTCCCTGAGGGTGAAGGTGAGAATGGAAACACACACACATTCATAGCAAGACTGGAAAGATCATAAAAAACCTACATAGATCCTTGTAGGTCTCGCTTGACCCTATCAGATCATAGTCAACTCTGGTAAAATTATGTTATAACTTTTATACCAATGTGCAAGTAGAAGTACAATTTGTATTATAATCGTCTTATGTACTGACATGTATAATGACCGTGGATGCCAGTACATGGAATGAATTCTCGAATTTTACGTTCCGGAGGAGAGTGAGTGAGGGTGAGAATGATTGAAATAATTCTTGAGTGCGGCTGTACGGTTGAATTTGATGTAGTGAAATCTTGAATTCTGAACTTTTGAGAGTCATATCTAGTTCAGAGTACAAAATGTACTCGTATTTGCGCAGCCCTCTATGTTTAAGACAAAAACAGAAATCGAACAGTTAAGTGTGTAACACGGTCATAAACTGTCTTTTTTATGTGCTAGGTAATTTAGCATGGTGCGCCAAGTGTTTTTCTTTTTGTTTGCATTCTGTTATGAAAATATCTTACCGTTTGACAGAGGAAGACGGTCTATAAATAGTGTGCATTATTTAGTAAAATAATGTCTTCATCTTCCTTTATAGTTACTTTCAGTGAAGTTGATTTTAATGTGGAAAGGCCTTTTTTTTGAAATAAATTAGTAAATATAAAAAATATCATGAAAGTTTTAAATAGGAAAGCAAACAGATTTTAACTAAATGTCAGAAGCATTATTGCAAAAAGGTAAGACATCTAATTCATTTTCGCCATCGTTTATTTTTTGGCTTCAAAAAAATATTTTTTTTCTGTAGAACAGCAGCTGTATATGATACGTGAACAGTAAGTATCTTGTGCAAAAAAAGTAAGAAATTTGTGTTGCAATTACGTGAAATTTTTTGACTACCATTAATGAACGTCATATAGGTACGGCGGAAAAAGAATCTGACAACAGATTTTTTGGTAAAATTCAATCACATTATTCATGAGTACTCGTGTGTTATGTTGCCATGTTTTTAAAACATTTTTTTTCTTTCCAAATTCGAAAAATCATTTAAACTATATGCAGTTAGGTAACCAATTGTTTCTTTGGTCAGTGTACAGTAATGGCACATCTATAAACTGATCTTATATCGCTATGAGAATACGACTCGATATGTCATAAAAGGAGATATAGAATAATTGGAGGTAAATGTATAGAAAAAAATCGTGAGTTTCAGTATATTGATAACAACTTTTTTTATTTTTCATTTTTTCGAAAAAATTTCTTGACCAAACATCTAGCTGAATTGTTTTCCTATCGATTAGTGAAATCATTTTCTCAAAATCTTGCGAGCTCACCTATCCTCAATATGTTCTTTGAATCCTGCTTGTCGGTTGTACATTTATTCCAATGAAAAATAAAAAAAGTTGTTATCAATATACTGAAACTCACTCTTGTTTTCTATACATTTATCCACAGTTACTCTATATTGTTTATAACTTGATTTTGCAGTTACATTCAAAGAATAATAGTAATTAAGGTAATAAATAATAAAAGTGGCGAATAATAAAGTTACTATAATACTGATTTTTCTAAAGTTCGGTAGTCATTTGCGTTTATGCTTATAAAATACAAGTTGAGGTAGATTTGGTAAAATTGTAGAAACATAGATGCATGATGCAATTATTGGAGTAAATTTTAAATTTTTCGAAAAAAGACCGAATTAGAATTAAAAAACTGATTTTTGTTGTCGGTTCGTGATTTTGGTTTTTGATTTGGTAGTAATGACAAAGAATATTTTGGTAATATTATTATTAAATTGAAAAGTTTATTTGAGTAAAATGTGTCTTGTACAAGGTTGTAAGCATCATCTACAATCATAAGATTATGTGTCCTCAAGAAATGAAAGCCTGAAGACAAGTAGAGAAAAAGTTCTCTTGTGCCTGCTTAAAAAATTGTTCATATTATAAACATATGAAAAGTACTGATAATAATTAATAATACCCATTGACGAATAGAAGAATATACATATATATACATATATATATGTCTCGATATTTTGTTATAAAGAAGAAGTCTGCATCTTGCCGTGGTGGTATATCTTTTTTTTAAAGATTTAAAAATAGATTGTACTAAACAAACACATGTTTTAAATATATGAAAAAACAATGTAAACAGTTGCCAGCTGCTACTTGTATAAAAAAATTCGCGTACATTTCAATAGAATCACTTAACATTTTCATGTAAAATCTTGACGACAACGCTAAGTATTAACATACGAAACGAATGCAATAATGCACACAGGTCAAACCTACTCTTCTATAAACGGTCGTTCACAGACCAAACACGGTCAATAACGGCGATTGTTTATGTTAACCATTTGCAGCAGCAGTAAACGATGCTTTACAGCATATTACGACAACCGTACACAGTGTCCGTGAAAGTCCATCATAAAAAACTACCGTAAAAATACGGTGACTGTATACTTTAGTCGGAAAACAATATATGATATCGCATATGTCAGCCGTTTGCAGTGACCGTTTACAACAGTCGTACATGATGCTTTACGGCATACTACAGCAATTGTAAAATTGACTGTAAAATATTACCGGAAATGACTATCGTAGCAACACAGCGACTGTAAACGCTGATATTATAAAATTTCGTAAGAAATCGTATTCATTAGTTTTACACGGTCATTACCTACGGCGATCGTAAACGATGTTTTACGAAGCTTTCGGGTCATTGTGAACAATTACCTTAAAAAACCACCATGTATGACTTCTGTAATACTACACCAACTATATACGTTCATCGCATAATATCGCGACGTACTTTTTGTATCAGCTGAAAACGGTCTGATACAAAAACACTATTTTTTTAAATCTGGTTTCATCGCAAAAAGATCGCTAATGTTAGGGAATTGCTATTATTCAATATAAATAATATACTCTCATGATCAAGTGTACCAGTTGACAGCTAAAAGCACTTGCGTTTCTATGAAGTTGAGAAAGACTCTTCAGTTCTATTTTCTGATATGAGCAATAATTCTATCAAATCAAACATCTTTCCAACGATCTGATCTGCTTGATGTCCGTTCATACACCGCAGGTTCTTCGTACAACACACCAATCTCACAAACAATATCACGTATAGCACACATAAAAACATATATTCACACTGAGTACACGGATAACAAACGCACAAAAGTTAGACTAAAACTGTCCACTATTGGAATAAAAATCGGTTTTCAGCTATTCATAACATCATCAAACAATCGCGATTTTTCATTCTTTTCTAGACTCTGTCTACCCTATATATAGGGGTGCACCACGTGTTCGTGCTCTTTTGAGTGAAAGAATAGGTAGAAGTAACAAGTATGAAAAATCGATTTTTAAGTAGTATTATTCATAAAAGAAACGATCTTTCCCATCTTTTGCAAATCGCTTTTTGTCTCAAGTACCTCATTCCGAGATATTTTTGAAACTTAGAAATCTACTTTCATACATGGAGACCTTTTTTGAATGATACCTGGGTTTCAAGGTGGTTTTGGGGATAATTACGATGTTCAGAAAAAAAAGATCTTTAATGATCTTTAATGATCTTTATCTTTGAAGTACCTGATATTAGGATATTTTTCTTGCTTGAATTTATATTTTGATAAAGAAAGATCTTTTATGGAAGAATACTTTGTTTCGTAGGCATTTTCGAGATTAAAATACTGTGTTTGAATGAAAAGATCTTTAAAGATCTTGAAATATATTATTTAGCGATTTTTCAAGATCTTTAAAGATCTGTAACTATATTTTTTTTGTACCTGGTTCGGCTGGAGTTTCTGAGAGTATAAACGGAGGAGTGTAGAAGATATGTTTAAAGACTTCTTGATGGCTATCATATGCCTCAGCTTTGTTTTGGTTTGTCGAAAGTGGGAACGGCCGTATACGCTGATATTACGGTCGTGAACGATGTCGTATAAGGCATTGCACATCGGCATTGATGCCGTGTCAAGTCATAATTACGGTCGTATATTGTTTTCGTATCATGCCGTTTACGGCACGGCAAAATACCATCGTAATACAGCCCATGGAAATACGGCGAGGATACAGCCGTAAGCAGCCGTATTTCCACTGTATACAGCGGTATACGGTCGTTTCTGGTTACCGTAATGCTCGGTCTGGGAACAATATACTTAAAATTTTGTCGGATGTTATACTTATTATTTGCAAATATTAAAAGACAAGAAATCTCATTAAAAAATATATAACAGACACATATGAGAAATGACTCCAATGATATTATAAATATGATAGACATGATAAATCGAAAAAACTGACGTCAGAATATAAAACTTTATTTAATATATTAGATTTTTTTGTATAATTTATTTGAAATATTAGGTAACTGATAAAGAAATGAAAATAACATCGACAAACGATAATGTGTCTCGTTTAAATAATGATAATAAAATATTAGAATATATTTGTTCATATATAAAATATAAATTTGATAATCTATTTGCTCATGGTTTAATTTTTATTATTCCATTATTAACTATTATAAGTGTATTTGTAATATTAATATTTAGTATAATTTATTATTATACTAAAGAAACAGATAATTATAAAGATGCATTATGGCAAACATTTACACGTATACTTGATCCATGTGCAGCAGCACACGATGAAGGTCTAAAACATCGACTTATATCTGGTATTGTTATACTTTGTGGTCTTGTTATTGTTGCAATATTAATTGGTGCAATTGTAACTTTTATGGATGAAAAATTAAATGAATTAAAAAAAGGACATACAACAGTTATTGAAAAGAATCATACAAGTAAAATTTATAAATTAAATTGATTAAATATTGAAACAGAAAAAATTTGTATGTCTTTCTTTTTTTTTGTATTTAGTAATTTTAGGATGGTCACCAAAAATATTTGATATTATTAATGAATTAATTATTGCAAATGAAAATCAACGTAATCCTTCAATTGTTATTTTGACATCAAAAGATAGTAGTGAAGTTCAATATATGATTAAAGATAAAATAAATAATTCAAGAAACACAAGAATTATTTATAGAAATGGTAATCCAATGTCGGTATGTAAAAAATACGAAAAATTGTTTTTCTTTGACAAATGCTCTTCTTTTTGTCTCTCCCTTTTAATAATAGTATGGCAATGAAAAAATAATAATATTCTGACTGCAGCGTGCTCTTCCATTTTCCCTTCCTTATTCGCTCATCTTGTAGGCTATAAAAATTCATTTAAAGAATATTTTCCAAGTACTCTAATAATTAAAAAAATATTTTTTCCAAAAATTCTAACCGAAAACCAGAAAACATTGATTTGAATTTTTTTTGGGCAACGCTTATCTGATTGTTTGCTGTGTCTCTTTCGTAATAATGAATGCCGAAGAGAATTTTTTGTTCAATTTTCTATTTTATTGTCTATATCTAAGTATCCTAAATAGATGATTGCATTATATGTATTTTATTAATTTTAGATCAATGATTTAAATAAATTGAGTCTTAATCAAGCACGATCAATAATTATACTGGCACCGGAATTAAACAATCCTGATGTTAGAATAATAAAAACAATATTAGCAATTAGAAATAATCCAAGACGAAATAACATTAATTTTCATATTGTTGCTGAAATAAAAGAACAAATTAATTTAGAAGCGGCAATAATTGCAGGTTTTTATTAGATTTTATACATTGAAATATTTTTTTTACATATTTTACTCATCTTGTTTTTATATAAGTACTTCGCTCGAATACATAAGTTGCTGTCCAATGTCATATGAATAATAAAACAAATAATTTAGCTTTGTTCGCAAAACTGTTTAATGGTAAAAAATAATATATTTTTTTTAGGCGGAGATGAAGCATTATTTGTCTATGCCAATGAAATAATTGCACGTATTATGGCCCAATCATGTCGACAAAGGGGTTTAAGTATAATATTATCAACTTTATTATCATTTCAAAATGATGAAATTTATTTTAAACATGAAAGTGCACTTGTTGGTAGAACATTTTATGATGCTGTATTTTCATATGATAAATGTTCAGTAATTGGATTAATGTTATCCGATGGAACAGTTAAAATATTTCCTCGATTAAATACAATAATAAATATTGATGATCAAATTATTGTTATCGCTGAAGATGATGATAAAATTATATTGTCATCTGATTATTTGTTACGTATTAATTATGAATATTCAGGATCAAAATCATCATTATTATTTAATCATAATACAGTTTTATTATCCAATCCTATGACTAGAAGAGCAACAAAAAGAATTGAACGAAATCTTCTACTCGGATGGAATAAAAAAGCTCCATTAATTGCTAAAGAATTGGATACTTATGTTGCTCGCGGCAGTGAACTACATATATTAACAAATTCTAATATAATAACACAATTTATAAAGGAACAATTAGCTAATGAATTAACAGAACAAAAAATATTTGTACATTGTGGAAGCTTAACAAATAAATTTGATTTAGAAAAACTAAATTTATTTTCTTATGATTATGTTATATTATTAGCAAATGAAGAAAGTGAACAACAAAATTTAATTGAAGAAGCTGATGCTGAATGTTTAATTTGTTTATTATATTTAAAAAATATTATTGATAAATCAAATAAGGAAAAAACATTTAGTATAGTAGCAGAAATGTATGATATACGTAATTGTCAATTAGCAAATAGAACATGTGCCGATGATTTTATTGTTAGTCCAAATTTACTATCAAAATATATTTCACAATTATCTGAAAATCAAAATATAAAAAAAGTTTATGATGTTTTATTAACAGCTGATGGTCCTGAGATTTATTTATGTTTAGCATCGATGTTCGTTCCACTAGAAACACCAATTAGTTATTATCAAGTTTTACAAGAAACATTAAAATATCAATGTTTAGCAATTGGTTATAGATTAATGAAATATTTACATGATGAAACAAGATTTTTTGGAATTGTTTTAAATCCAGATAAACAAGAACAAATTATATTTTCACAAAATGATAAAATTATTATTTTAGCTGAAAACTTTATGTCATTTGCTCCCCATAATACGCAAATTCGTAGATACCGGCTAGCTATTAGCGGTAAATCGTGGTAAATTACAGTGATGGACGCCAGGCCTCGAAGCGGACCAATTTTGGATGACCCAACCCTGTTCGAATAACAATGGCACTATTATAAATATATTTCTTGGGTGGGTGGGTGTGTGGTGTGGGTATGTGGGGTGTGGGGTGTGGGTGGGTATTGTCGTAGATATATTCTTTGTCCACACCCGCACACCCACACTCACGTCCACACCCCACACTCACACCTATACCCACACCCCATACCCCACACCCACACCCACCCACATCCACACCCACACACCCACACCCTTTTGAATGTATGATAAGAAGCGACATCGACATATATTTTAAGAAATAGAGTCGTTGATTGTCTATTACTATTTTATATGAACTGAATATTAATATTATTGCTCATTAATGAATATTCTATAATTTTCGTTCCCAATAGGTTTCGTCGTATTAAACTCAGCCTACAATAATGAAAATAGCACTTATTCCGAAATTCAATGAGTCATAAGCTACTATGATAGCAGCTTTCGCAGGTTTTCTATTCTAAGAGGCACAAAGAAGATATGGAAAATCTTTGATGGAATAGTTTTCAATTGTTTTCAAAAAAAATTTTAGTAAATCTTGATGTTCAAATGAAACATGTTAAATTCGTATCAACCAATTACTTTCAATCAGTATTCATTGCATTCAATAATAACAATAAAATCCTTAAACTCAAGTAGACGAAAGTTATTGGAAGAGTATAATCTAGACGCAGATTCCTAATTTAGGATAGATTTCTATGAAGCTTAAATTAGACTGACACAGTCAAGCCTATTGAAGTTTTAGGATTTCAAGTCGAATAATCAATATGAGTAGATCTATTTTTTTTATTGTTTATGACATATATCATCGAATCATTTTGAATAGTAAATCATTAAAGTTTAACAAAAGACTGAGATCAGCTCATACACTGAAAGTTATGTGTGCTTCATACATGAAGCTCTAATCCTAAAAGATAAAGTACCAAATCAAAGCGACTAGTACAAATTGTCTGTCAATGCGAAAGGACTACAAACTGTAGTGCTACACAAAAATCATTAGTTCGACTCTACCTTCTTTTCTAACATACAGTTGTTTTCACTTGTTAAATAAGTTGATATTCTTTTTTGGTGCTATTTTTGTCTTTACAGGTAAATTGAAGCTACAATGTCCATGAAGACATCGTCTCGAACTATTTAACGCAGATATGCGCAAAATGAAGGATCGTTATCAAGATAGAACATCAGAATTTGAATGTGATGTCTGTTCGAAATAATCTCGGTTTTTATCATAGCATTGCCCTTGTGCAATAGAAACATTCGACATTTGCGAAGAATGCGCGAATAAACAAGATTAAAAATGATTGTGGTCAAACTACACGAATAGAACCTCGAAAATTATTTGACTGTTGAATCTTTATTAGAGTCATTGCTGTCGACATGTACCTATTCATCAACTAGCGAATATTAAGTTTGATAAATAATAAATGAAACAATGTAATTACTAATATAAGGATGGAAGTTTTTTCCTAAAAGTAATCGTGAGTGTGGATGTTGGTATTCAATTCACTCACCCATATCCGCATTCTTCTTTTCTTTGATCTAGTGTGATCTAAGTAATTCAACGAAAAAATTCATTTTATAAGCCAGTATTCGAAGAATTACGCAACTTCACACATTCTCCAAAAGAATAAATGCTCTTGAGAACCCCTTGACGATGACGAATATCGCATTTTTCTTGTACGCGTCTAGACACATCTTTATTTTCTGTCTCGTTCTTTTCAGTTTCGTATTTTCGTTTCTGCTAGGTAAAAAGAAAAAAAAACATTCTCTCCCGATGATGCCGATTTGCACAACCTTGAGTGATGTTTGAAATAGAAAAGTGCACAGAGAGAATCACTGAATGATTCTCTATCCAACAACAGAACTGAGTATTCTTCACACATGTCCTAGAAACCGTTCTAGGTTTGAAATAGAAAAGTGAGTTTATGAGCTGAAAAAATATTTGTATGAAAATCAAATCATCTCAATCTGATGGCAATTCCCAGAGCATATTTTTATCCGGGTACAAGTACAATATGAAATCGTCGTATTATCATTGCTAGCATAATTTTAGCTTGTAACATAACAAAATACAGTTCAATAAAAGAATGAAAACCAATTGAAAATGACAGAAATATTATCTAACTCATTTTGATCAAACCGAGATGGATCAAATTTTTCTTATGAACAGAACAACAAGGTGTGGGTGTCAGATAGGCATGAGTCTTCTCTTTCAATACACTCACACCCTTGAAGATGCTTAGATTGAACTAAATATGCTGTGGTTGCTGTTTCTATTTCATTGTCATTTTTGATTTTTTTTTCAACTTGTTATTTTCTATTGAGAATCAGACAATCAAAATGTTCCATTTTGCATTCACTTTGCAAAATATTTCATAATTACTTCATATCGAACACCGAAATCACAATTTTAATACATTCTAGGTAAAGATAATAAATATAACAGATATTTGATAAAATTTAGAAAATGAATAAACAACATTATAATCATGATTTTTAATAGATATTATGAAATGAAGTTGAAAGCTTTCTTTAATTAATATTTAGAACAATGAGAATTGTATAAAAATTATAAACAACAAAACAATTTTGTCTTTATCATATAACTTTTTGGGATATTTCTGATCTTAGTCCTGTTAGTGACGTAAGGAGAAAGGAATTTATTGCTTTCTAAGACTTTACTTGATATCTTTCAGAAATAAACTAAACATAACTGTAATATGAGACATGGGAGAAGAATGAAAAAGAAAGACAACGTTTTCTCTTTGCAATAAAAGAAGAATGATAGAAAGGGAGAATACAAGATTTATCAAGAAGCCAACACATATGGGAACAAAAGGACTTGTTTTTCGTTTGGTTCAGAAAGTAGAGATTGACCATGTAGTCTCGAATAATCTTCTTTTTGTATACTCAAAAAGTGAGTACACTCTAGAATCGGTCAGTGTGTCTGTCTGTCCGGTCGTTTACACGATAACTTTTGAAAGAAAAGTCAGATCGCGATGGAATTTGTTGCGCAGTTTAGTTTCAACAATATCTCGGTCAAGTTCAAAGACGAGAATGATTCGCAGAGCCGTTCCTAAGTTATTGCAAAAACAGTCACTTTTCCCTGTGCCTTCCTATGCGAAAATCGACCCCATCCCGCTTTCGTGAACAACTTTTCCTATCATAGTCAAATAAAACCCCCAACTATTATATATTATTCGATAGGGAATTTCACGAGCTACAAAGTGGTATATAAAACATAAAGAAACAAGAAGGCTGACCCCCCCCCCCCCCCTAATGCAAAGATAATTAAACGGAAATTGATTCTGTTTTTGTCCACGCTCGGATTGATCCACAATTAGAGCTCTATCTTTCGATCACAGAGATGGTACTTCGAGGTTTTCTGGGACGGAGAACTCGAATCTGCGCTCCACTTGTCTCGAAGTGCAATTGGTTGAGCAGGGACCAATAGAAATCAAGTTATAGAAAAAACGACTTTCTCAGAGTAAATCAAGGCGAAGAATTCAAATCTGAGCTGTGTTCGCCCCTAAATCCTATTGATTGAGCAGTAGCCAATAGAATTCAAGTGTTCACAGAAACGATTTGCCAGGATAATTTTGATGTCCACACATTCTAGGATGACTCATCTGTCTAATTCACTTTTTGAAGTACACATAACTCTCGGATTTGTATCCGAGGTTTCCACATTTATTATATGGTATTATAGCATCAAATTTTCAACATCAACATCAAATATGTAACTATGAACTATTGTTCTACATAGCCATGATGAAAAAACTGCTTCCGTAAAATGGCAGACATTTTAAATGAATCTTTGTATACTACAGCGATTAATTTATAATTCAAATAGCATCTATTCCAACAAAAAATTCAAAGTTCACATAAAAAAATAACAATAATGATAGCAACCAAGTTGATCAGCGAAGAGAATATACATTTAAAAGAAAGAAGAAGGAAAAGGACATTATTAGGAGAGAGAGAAATCAAAAAGGAAGAGAAAAACTAATGACAATAGTATATGTCGGGAGTGCATGCTAGAGATCGTTATCTGTTGTGGTATGAAATTAAAAGAAGGTAGATACACATACATGTTCGAAGGATGGTTTCATTCGAGAATATACTGATTTTGAATGGTCTTGACTAATTGTCACAGTAAAATAATTGTACAATTGAACTTTGTAACAAGCATCATGAC